TGCTAATGGTGAACCTTATTTAACCTGTTTTTTTGTTACTTCTTAATTATTTATTTTTTATTTTAAAATTTTAGCTGCCTTCAATGCCTCCAGATAAAATGGAGGAGTATAAATCAATGAATAAATATAAATAGATAAATAATGATGTCCTGGAACAAAGACATCCCTGAATATAACTCAGTAAGCACACTCCTGGGTTAAGTAATGTTTTTCTTCAGGTTTTGTATCATTCTGTAACATAGGATGTCATAATCCAACACCTGACTGTTTTAGGTCTGATATCACAGCATATACCAAAAGGTCCATTTGATGTACTTTAACTCTTCTTGTTGCAAAACAACAATAAACCTACAATGTTAATTCTTTCCAATTGCAGCTTACTGCCATGGATGCAGATGAAGGTCCAAATGGGCAGATTAGATATGAAATCTTGGCTGGTGATCAGGGAGACTTCATAATCAACGATAAGACAGGCCTTATCACCATTGCACCAGGAATTACGTTGGTAGTAGGTCGGTCCTATGCCCTCACTGTCAAAGCATCTGACAGTGCTCCACTTGCACAGAGAAGGTAAATCATACCTGACTTTATTTCTTTAGCTGTTCATAGCTGAGAAATTAGCTTTTCAACTCTGTAATTTATAAAGAAGGATGAAGCCAAGGTGAATAATGTTTTGGTGGCCAGGAATTTTACTTTATTGGGAAAGTGGGATGAGAGCTGTAGGGAGTGGACCAATGATAGAAATAGATGAAGCTACATCAGATATAGACCGGGCTGGAATTTTCTATTCTTTCTAGGTTGAGATCAGGGAGCAGGTTTTCATTTTTAAACAATGTTAACTCTATGTTTTATCTTATACCACAGTTTTTCTATATATCCGTCTCAAGATGATAAGAAATTCTGCTGTTCTTTTTTGGCAACCATGTTATTAAGATTTGGCAGCACTATCAGAGGGCATTGTGGAGGCTGAAGCTAATGCTGTAGAATACCCAGACCTGTTGTAAAAGAATAGTACTCCCAAATTTCATCCTGATGAACCAGCTTCTTTAAAAGAAGCACGTCTGCTACTCCTTTACTAATTGTTGTATTGAAACATTACTTTGCAGCACAATCTTATATTTTAGTCTACTTGGAAATAAATCTATTGAGTTTAGTGGATCTTACTCCCAGATAAGGATTATACAGAACTGCAACCTTTGTATTTGTACAAATAGGCATCATGAAGGAAATGAAAATATACCCAGTACATATCTATTTCTGTGCAGTAAGTTCAGTAGATCAAATATGTTTTGACTTTTCTAAAAAAAAGTCAATTCTTGTCTATTTAATTTGTTAAGTATCAACTTAAATGCCAGTGATTTAAGTCTGTAATTTTGCTTGACCCATATCAGCGAGGGTCAGTTTAAGAGACTGAGAATGAGAGAAAGGAAGAGAGACAGCTTAAGCCATGAAAGCACAAGTAGCAATTGCTTCTGTAAATTCCCATATATCATTTAACGGTAATATCTCCAACTATCCTGGAACTGAAAGGATCACTGAGCTGGAGATAACTTTTCCCCCCCAGGCAATGCATTCTTATGGTGTCCCTTAGCTCAATTTGGAGCTCAGATTGCAAGCTATGCAAATACTGGACAAGGCATGAAATATGCTATGCTGAAATCTATACTGGAGCCAGCAAAGTCATTCAGTTCCTAATTTATAACATGTTAGAACTGGGAAGCCCAGAGTAGATAGGGATGAATTTCTCTCTTAAACCAAGTTGGAAGAAGAAACGTAATGAGTGACTTTTAACAACCACAGCATACAGTTAAATAGAAAAGGTTTAATTCTGCATGCAGATTATAGCTTGCAGGGAAGTCATCAGGTGTGAATGTCATATCTATATATTTCACAGAACAAAGACCTAAAATATATCATGGTTATATACATAATTACAAATACAGATTATTCCAACATTTAATCTAACTCATGCATCTCTGCTTCAATATCCAAAGGGAATGCATATGACATTTTTCTCTATACACAGATGCAATGTGACTACTCTTTTATAAGCCAAAAGGTCTTTTGGAGTATTTTGGGAGATGTCGTAAAGGTAGTACCTATCTGCAACTCTTAAAACCAGCCACATCTTTACCTGAAATCTTGTGGCTGTCCACCCTGCAGCCCTACGATTTTGGCAAAGACATAAAATAGGATCATATTTCCAAAAGCACAGAAAACCAAGTGTAGGTTGAGGAAAGGATTTAGAGGTCTTCAGAACTAAACATTCTCGGTTTCATTATCCTGTGAAATATCAGAAAGGAAGTAAAAGGAAAATGCAACAAAATAGAAGGAACACAAGCCCATTGTGGGCAAAACTTGGAAGTCCAAACCATATATTGTAATTGGAAGGTTAGCTTGTCTTTAGTCTTCTGTTCATCATATGGTACACATTAATCTCTCTTTTTCATTCACTCCTTATTTCATCTGTCTCTCCTTCTATAGTATATGGAAGCAGAAACTCATTTCCAGCCTAGAAGTTCTTCCATTGGATTTTGGAATGGGACACAGTCCACAAATTCTAGACCTGACTGGAAAGCTGAATATGCAGGGATCACTTTTAAGTTGAAAGGGACTTTTTCTCCCCCCTCACTCCTCTGCATAATTTTCTCAGAACCTTTTCCACAATGTTTGTTGCAGCAACATTTCTTTCTCTTACACTCTCCCAAAGAACTCTAGCTCCACAGGAGGGTGGGAGAAAATAAAATGGAGGCTGCAGTTGTACTATTTCTCTGCTAATGGTGAACCTTTCCTTATGTGAAGCTATTTCCCCAATTTCTCTGCCCCAGAAAAAATTGATCAAGAATGTTATGAGGCTTTTCCTGCACAGCTTTTTAGTTATTTAGCTTCTCCTTTATCAGAGTTCACTAAATGTGTGGACTTTGGGAATGGGGATGTAGAGAGTAGAACTAACATATGTGATCTCATTTTGCTACCATCTGCATTCTGAATAGCACAGAAATAACAGAGTTACTGACTAAACTACCCTAATGAACATGTGTTGAAATCTATCAGGCGGACAATCCAAATGTAGTACTTAAATGTCAATTTGTTGTTCAGTCGTTAAGTCGTGTCCGACTCTTCGTGACCCCATGAACCATATTGCGCCAGGCCTTCCTGTCCTTCGCGAAGAGAGGAGTCTTTGGAAAAGACCCTGATGCTGGGAAAGATTGAAGGCAAAAGGAGAAGAGGACGGCAGAGGATGAGATGGTTAGATAGCATCACTGAAGCAATGAGCATGAAACGGAGCAAACTCAGGGAGGCAGTGAAGGACAGGAAGGCCTGGCGCAATATGGTTCATGGGGTCACGAAGAGTCGGACACGACTTAACGACTGAACAACAAATTGACATTTAAGTACTACATTTGGCTTGTCCGCCTGATAGATTTCAACACATGTTCATTAGGGTAGTAGATGGGGGTACCAGACCATCTTACCTGTCTCCTGAGAAATCTGTATGCGGGCCAAGAAGCAACAGTTAGAACCAGTCACGGAACGCGAAGAGAGGAGTCTTTGGAAAAGACCCTGATGCTGGGAAAGATTGAAGGCAAAAGGAGAAGAGGACGGCAGAGGATGAGATGGTTAGATAGCATCACTGAAGCAATGAGCATGAAACGGAGCAAACTCAGGGAGGCAGTGAAGGACAGGAAGGCCTGGCGCAATATGGTTCATGGGGTCACGAAGAGTCGGACACGACTTAACGACTGAACAACAAATTGACATTTAAGTACTACATTTGGCTTGTCCGCCTGATAGATTTCAACACATGTTCATTAGGGTAGTAGATGGGGGTACCAGACCATCTTACCTGTCTCCTGAGAAATCTGTATGCGGGCCAAGAAGCAACAGTTAGAACCAGTCACGGAACGCGAAGAGAGGAGTCTTTGGAAAAGACCCTGATGCTGGGAAAGATTGAAGGCAAAAGGAGAAGAGGACGGCAGAGGATGAGATGGTTAGATAGCATCACTGAAGCAATGAGCATGAAACGGAGCAAACTCAGGGAGGCAGTGAAGGACAGGAAGGCCTGGCGCAATATGGTTCATGGGGTCACGAAGAGTCGGACACGACTTAACGACTGAACAACAAATTGACATTTAAGTACTACATTTGGCTTGTCCGCCTGATAGATTTCAACACATGTTCATTAGGGTAGTCTTCTTTCCACAGCTATTTGTAATGCCTCATCAGACAGCCATTTTGCTTTCTTGCATTTCTTTTTCCTTGGGATGGTTTTTAGTTAAATGTCAATAGCTTTAAATTATTCTTAGAACAATATTAACAGTTTGAGTCAAAGCTTACATTTTTCCTTGGCACCAGTCATTTAGCACTGTAACCATCTTAAATTCAAACATATCTTCACAACTATAAAGATTAGAGACTTTAAATGTACAGTCTTCCTAAATGTAATGCCTGAATTAGGAAGCTGATTCTTCTTCCTCCTCCTCCTCCTCCTCCTCCTCCTCCTCCTCCTCTTTTTGCTGGTGCCATTTTAATGGCAAATTTCAAAAATCAGTATAATGCTTCTGACCTTGTTTCACCTAGACATTCTTTTCATTTTTTGAAATAAAAATAAATATATTTCCATCAAGCTGGTTTAATAAAAGAACTGGGTTCATAAATATGTGGATCTGAGCATCCCCCTCCCAAAGATCAAGGGAGTTTTGTTTTATTTTTTTTTGAGAAAAATGTTACAGTCATTAAAAGCATACTGCATATTATTTTAATCCCCACTGAGATAGCTTTCATATTATTACTTAGACTTCAAAGCTTGGAAGGAAATTAAAATTTTCTTAAGACTCTTGCAGTCTCTTCAGTTCAGATAGAGCTGCTCTCAGTTTTAATGGGAATGGAAACAGCTTTGCCTGTTTATCAGACTATAACACAAATTAGAAGCTGCTGAGTTGGGATTCCTCTCTCTCATAAGACATTTGGAATGCTTAATGTGTTATAACATTTGCAGTTTGATGGAGGGACAGTGCTGTGCTGTAATTTGATTTTGACTGAATTCTGCTTGTCGTTTCAGGAGTTCCATCACTACTGTTTACATCGAGGTTCTTCCTCCTAACAATCAAAGCCCACCCCGCTTCCCTCAGCAGATGTACAGTCTTGAACTCAGTGAGGCCATGAGAATTGGTGCCATTTTGCTAAATTTGCAGGTACAGAATGCTTCAATGTAAGCATTTACAGAGCTCTTTCTGCTTATGGATATGAGTTGAATTGTAAATTACTTCCAATTTTTCTGAGAAACTTTGCCTTATAGGTTGTCAAACTCTCAGCTACCATTCAACACTTTCCCCATTGATTTGTCATCCGTGCATATTGCTACATAGCCTGAAACCAGTGAGATGAATATGCACCTAAGTGTTTACTTTTGCGCTGATGAAATGGAAAGGGATTCTATAGCACACACACCTAGTATTCTCTTATCTTTGATTTCATGTTGCAGAATTCTATGGATCAGTTGCCTTTTCAAGGAAGCACATCCATCATTGCAAATCTCACTGAGGGACCCTTGCAAGGTTTCTGGAGTCCAAAACTGCTGTTTTGCATTATCTGTAATAACACTCATCCATCATAACTGATGGTATCATAGAGATCTTTTAGATCTTTATGGGAAGCTATTTATACCAGTAAGATATCTGTATAGATAATGAGTCATGTTCCGGATTCTTTTGTAAGTAGTAGAATGCATGCTTGGCATGTAAGATTCAAGGTTACATTGCTGGTATTTCCAAAAAGGGCAGAAGAAGTTGTATTTGGCACATAGTAAAGCTCTGCTAGTCAGCTTAGATGGTACTAAGATTGATCAATGGCTTGACTCAGCGTAGGATAACTTGTGTTATTTCACTTTAAATTCTTAGAATGGCAAATACGACAATGGTTTCCAACGTTAACTTGATCGTTTCAGAATTAAAGGTGGGTGGAGGAATGCTCTGCTTTTCAACAAGTATTGCCAAAAAGAACCCTAACCATACTGAGGAGAAAGGAGAGTATGCCAAGAAAATTAACATTTCATTGATTAGGACTGCTGTTTTAGGAGGCCCAACATTTGCAATGCAGTATATCTGATCATTTTAGTCCATGCCACTCTTCTCCTGGGCAGAGGCCTTGTGCTTTTAACAAAATCCTGTTTTTGGGGTTTTTTTCCTTCTTTTCATTATAGCCTTGTCATGCTCGAAAACAGAAAGTTGAGGCAGTTGAAATTTTGCCTGAGAATAGCATAGAATCCCAACAAACGTTGTGCTTACATTGCGGCAAGGAACCTGCAGGGCCCAATCCTTTGCACATGATTTGCTTTCAGTAATAGATTTCCTGGCAGAAAAAGGAATCTCCATCTCTTCAGGGTTACAACCATTTATGGGCTGTTCCTGCATCTGTACTTTTCAAAGCAGCCTTCTGGAAATAATTTCCAGTGCTTGGAAGTATTGAGCAAGAAAATAAATGGATTGGAAGGGGTTCACCGGTGTCAATTCTGTTTCTCTGGGTTTGTTAGCTGATGAAAGTGGTGTAGCTGGATCAGGACAAATGCTGGCAATCCTGCTCAGGAAGCAGGAGATAATGACAGCCAGAAGGATGGAATCAGCAGGTTCAGTCTGATATTTTTTTTCTTTCTTTTTTACTTTTTTAACTTTAGGGATGCCTTCACTGAAGCACCATTTAACTCAGGGGGTTGCCATCACATTTTACTCGCATGATATGGAGGCTCTGGAGACCCCTAAGAAAGAAACTTGCGGGCCATGCCTCCTGCAGTTGGCCCACCCAGAGTCATACAGTGAAGTTTCCCTAACATAATAATGCCTGATAGGCAAGACTTACTATGAATAAGTGACTTACTTAAAGTAGTCCAGATACAGCTGAACAACAGCAGGGGGAGAAGGCAGAGTTCTGATTTCTCTGGCAAACAGCAGCCCAAAGACAGAGTGGTTAATATTAGTTTAGTTATGGGTGAGGAATTCAGAAGCTTCAATGAGTTTTTTTTCCCATTCTCCAGCATAATAAACAGAAGTCAACTTTTCCTTCCAACCAATCTGATTGTTGCAGCATGTCTGTCCCCTTAAATTAAGTCTTCTGTATACATTTATAATTTTCAAGAAAGATTTGAATCCAGTGATTTTAACGATGATGCACTTGGAAATTTGGGATAAAAATGATCTTTGCTTAGGTTATTTGTTCTTATGACTGATTTATTTATTTTTGAGTAGATATTTATATGATTTCCATGCCAATAGTGCTTTAATATGCTTACTTTTGACTGGAAAGTGTTTTCTATTATTAAATTAAATTATTATTTTTTCAGGATTTTGTTATTATCTTGCTTAATTAATGGTATAATCTAATAAGCACTATTTTTTTCAAACCATTTATTGCTCAGTAGGACTTTTATATTGCATACTTTAAGAAGGGTACAAATAAGTGTATGATTTAAACATTGCTATCATGTTTATTTTCCTATTTTTTTAAGAAAGTCAGTCATAAATATTCCCTTCTAAGTCATTCTGTGGAAATAATGTGGAAAATATACTGTCCGTAAAAAAATCTTTTTTAATAATCTCATTGTTGACTAAATCTTAAGTATGCAAATATTTTAATTCCATGAAATTCCAATAGGCAATTATCATTCTTATCACAGGATATTCTCATGCAGTGAAAATGCATATGCACTCTCCAGAGGGGATAAACAACATAATGATCAGTCTGTTGAGAGTTAAAGCTGTCAAATATTAAACTGTTATGAACTGATTAGCATTTAAAATGTGTTGTCCATCACTACTGAGCTTTTTGAAAAAATATTCATAAAAAAGAAATCAGGCTCTAATATGCAGCTTATTTGTGTTGTTCTTTTGAAGGCAACTGATCGGGAGGGTGACCCTATAAAATACATCATACAAAATGGAGACCCCCAACGAGTATTTAATCTTTCTCAAACGTAAGTCAATTTTCTCTTTTGATTGACAATGAACAAAATCAATTTTAGTTAATCAACTATGCAAAATGTACAAATATACTTATATATCAGTTTTGAGTTTGCTGATGATCTAATGGTAATAATGACCTCTAAGAACAAGGCAATTTTCATGGTAATGTCTAAGTTAGACCTACCCAGGAAATTAAGTAGAAGCTACAAATCAGAATAATCTATATTACAATAATACTTTGCCTTATAAAAATTGCAATGTAGTAATATATTTATAGATGCAGCATCGCTAGACTTGCAAACTCTTTGAACCAATGAGATATCTTTATGATAGGCTTCCAAGCCCCATAGAAGACATCTACTTTCTCTTCATCTCTGTTTTCTTTTTATATTGTTTTACTAGCAAAGCAAGCTTACTCGGGTTACCACTGGGACTTACTTCCATCTATGTAATTATGGGGTTACAGCATGCATTTCCGACTTCTCAGCCCAATTTTAAATAGCAGATTATGTGCAAATAAGTTTCCAATCATAAGTGTTCAGCTGTTTGAAGCTGAGCTCTCTCATACTTAATAGCAGCTTTGTAAATGGTGCTAAACTTTAAAATTGTACATCTGAGACCATTTATTTATTTTAAATGTTTGATTGGGTAAAAACCTACTGAGATGGAAACTTCCATTATGAGAACAACCTGGGATTAATTAGAAGCATTTAGATTTGCCAGGTTTTCTGCTAATGACAGTGACTTTTTTTAAGCTTGCTAATTCTGGTCTTGAAAATGAAATGTACTTTAATGAAAAAGAAGACCTTTTGGGACTATTGTTTGAATTCAACCCCAGATATTCCAGACATTACTACTGAGAAAGCTTTTAGCTTTCCTCCTAAATTAATGCCATATTAAAGAAAAGCCATAGTAAACTGAAAGGTGCATGCACTAGAAATAGTGAAAAATTGCTTTCCTTTTAGAATCTGTCATTTGCGAAACTATTATTTGCCTGAATATTAATTATAATAAAGAAAGAAGGAAGGCTGTAAAAATTAAGAAAAGAGTAAATTAGAAGCTCATTGTTATGTTCTCAGAACTCAACAGTGGTACTAAAACAAAAAAGGGCTAGTTGTTCACTACTTGAGTACTGCATAAGCAGGATAAAGACTAAAACTAAGGATGGTGTGGTAATTTCTTCCAGAGCTTATATTATAGTTTTGTTAATATAGAACCAGCTTCCTTTATGTGATTTACTTTCTGCTTAGGGAAAAATATATCAAAGACTGAAAACATTAATTCTTACAGAATGTAGTTGGACATTTAAGAACCAGCATGGATATCATTTTGAAAGTCAAATACAACATCTACTTTTGCATTTATACTAGTATGTATAGGGAAATGTACTAGTATGGACTGGGATGCATATTTAGAACCAAATCCCATCGAAAGTAATGAAAACTAGAAGTAATGAAGACTAGAACTGTTTTTGAACTCTACAACTGATATATATGCGCCATGAAAGCAGGGTTAGCATTATGACTTTTTCTCTCCACTTCTCAGGGACATAGATGATCCTAGGGTGGTGAAGTCCCATTTCATAAGATAGGAAGCTGAAGAATCTAAATAATTCTGGGATTTAGCTACTATGATTGTTGAAATGAAGCTGACCTAATCAACTTTGGCTAGAATTCATAGGTCTGCCTTTAGTAAGGCCGCTGATAGGCAGGTTCAGCATTGATTCACTCCTCCAGTACAGAAAAGCCAAACCTGGTGGACCTACCACTTCAGATGGCTCTTATAAAATCAGGGTAGCTTCTCAGTTTATGTATTTTTTTTTAACGTTTCCTACAGACAGGGTTTAGAAAAATGAAAAACCACAGAGGACAACGTCATGTTATGATATGTAATATAGAGAAATGGAACCCTGCATTCTTTGCTTTTTGGGAAGCCATTCTAAGTCACGAATTCATCCAGTATGCCTGGTTGTGAACAAAAGCTATATTGCTTATATAGTCAAATCAGGTTTACTGTTTTTTAAAAAAGTGCTTAGCTTACAACAAAGATGCCTGTAACCATTCTGATTCCCTACAGCAGCAGAAGTTAATGAAGAAAATGTACTTCCCTTGAAACACTCTTTGTTTTGCTATATTCCCAGTACAGCATTTGGTTTCTGTTTTGTGTTCAAACAAAACAGAGTAGTAAAATGATCTGAGAATGCAGCATAGAAACCACTCCATCAGCGAAGATAAAACTATGCTGGCAGGGTGACTCGCTTTCAGAAATTCCCCAGAACATCATCAGAATGTTCTATCAAAATAGATACTCTGTCAATAGAAAAGAGGACAATTCATGTCCTGGGGGGTCAGGAACCCAGTAATACATTGACTAGGACTCATAGTGCAGTGAACCACAGGTTATTCCATCTCAGCGCTACATCCCCTCATAGCCATCATCCCATTATCTAAAAGTTCACATTAAGCCTCTTTTGTACTACATACACTGTTCCACCCACATAAGAGTCTTCAGGTTTCAGTAGGAGTCAGGAGCTTTTTAAGAAATAGCAGGAAACACTTGGTTCTTCTTTTCCCCACTCAGTGAAAGTGCAGTCCAACCCTCCACCACGTGACAGATAACTATACTAACAGAAAAATTGTTGTCCTTATTGCCAATCCCTACCCTCTCTGTCAGCTATTATTCTTTCTTGTTGATGAAAGGTGGTGCCCTATTTTTTGTGTATTGCGCATTTTATTTTTTCATATGGTTGGATGATTCCTCTGACTTTCCTGACCTCCCCTCTTCTGACTGTCACTAGCTTGCAGAAAAAATCCACCAATATAGAAAATGTCACAGAGGTGGGGAAAGGTTTGACATTTTGACCATGACATCTGACATTTTCTTTGTGCTAGGAAGAAAAAGGTCATAGGAATTTACAATATGGCTTCCAGATCTTGTTTGCAACCAAGATAGATCACTAGACAGATACAGAAAATTCTAACTCTTTGCTACTAACAAGTGGTCATCCATACTTTTGCAACCTGGTTGTAATAGCCCTAATTTTCAGTTGCCAAGCACACATACTTAGAGTTCCAAGCAACATCTGTGAATTTCAAGGTACCTGCTTGACATTCCTAGAACTCTTGTATATTTCTTAATTTGTGCAAGCTCTGTATTCCCCTGTTCAGGCCATTGAATCAATCCAAACCCTGTTTTCCCTTCCAGGCCTCTACAGGGCCATAAAGTGATGGTCAGAAATTAACTTTATCTGATGGCTTGCCAGGTGACCAGTTCTAAGACAGCCCTAACTCCTGTTCTACCACATGTTCTCAGAAAAGTCAATTCTTTCCAAAACTCCCAAGCCTGCTTCCTTGTTCTTATGTGAGGATGAAAAAATAAGGAATGGTAGAAATGGAGAATCTTCAGGGACCAGATAGGAAGGAGCATATCTGCACTAGCTTGAAGTATCATAAATCCCACTCTATAGTTCATCTGACTTCTACCACCAGCAAAATTAGAAAATGCTGCAAATCTCAGAAACCTGAACATTCTTGTTGGTTAGGAGCAAAATGCTATTTTAACACCAGTACAGCTAACTGTAACTTAAGGCAGCCTCACCTAAGGAGTGGAACAAGATGAAAGCAACATCAATGGACATGTCAGAGGATCTTTATATACTGTTAACATGCAAGTGGAGATAGGCCCTTAATTTCTCAGTTGTGAATAGTCAAGTGCTCAATTTATGCTCCTATACTGTTAATTTAATCTATCATTTCCTGCATTTTGCTCTCCAAGGACCTGACCCGCTTTGTTCTGCCAAAGCACCCCCATGTGTCACCCACTCATTTGTGACTACCATTCCTTAGCTTGGAAAGGACCAGGATGAAAGTGGAACATTTGAACAATGGAAATAAAAATGCCATTCCCATGTCCTTCTTCTCCATAGGTTGTTCATAAATCCAAGAGTCTCTATATCAATCTTTCACTGGCTCAATTATTCTTCTGTGCTATAATGGGAGGCATAAAGAAGTCCTTCTCCCCGTTTACAGTGAAGCAGCAGGGCACTGGATGTAGTAGTGGTCTTCCAGAGATCTTATGAGCTAGCTCCTTTATAAATGAGCTGCAGCATTACAATTCAGTCTGATGCATTATTATTCCATTGAGTTCACCAGGGTTTATTCCCATGTATGTATGCATTTAAGTGATGCCTCAAGTCTACAACTAAATGTTAGATTTCTGGTTGATTTCAGTGCCAGAGACTTAACTCAGGCTAATTTATAGGAATGGCAGTTTATCAAATACTCTATTTTTATAAGCAGGGCATCATGGGAGATGCAGTAGCAACTTATTTGTAATGATTTTGTCATCTTTAGAGTTCCTTGGTCAAAGAAGTTTCCATTAAATTATTCATAACATTTCTTTTCTTAGGTTTCTACTGTCTGGCTGTTTCATATCACACAAGTACAGATACCTACACACATACAAACATATACATCTATTCATTCCTTAGGCAATCTTAACTTTCCTTTAATTAGGGTTGTCTAGCCACATAGATGCCAGTTTCCAAATATCCCATCCAACTTGTACATCATGTACACATAGATGCCAGTTTCCAAATATCCCATCCAACTTGTTACTCCATTCACTTTCATTTTAATGATTGATTTTGATTTTAATCATATTAATTTGGGGGGAGGGTTCTTTATTGTGTTCGGAAAAAAGAGGTGGGATATACATTTAATAATAAAATTCAACATTTGTTATTGCATCCTGCTTTTGTCTGTTTATTTGATATATATTTACCACCATTTGTTCCCTTATTTCTCTTCATTTTCATCTGATGTCAGGCAGGTAAATTCTGTCTATGGCAAAAGTAGCAACTGCATTTTCTGGCAACCACCTATCTCCCCTGGCAACCACTGTTATATTTACCTGAAATATCCCAGGTGTTTTGTGATGGTTACTGTTTTTGTTTTGTTATGTTTTGTTTTCTGCGGTAGCATAGAATGATATAATGTCCTGTTCATTTTTCATAAAGAAATGTTGCCCTCAGAAGTAGCTCTGAGACTGCCTAAGTAAGGTGCTTTTCAGTCTCAGCCCCACTATGTATATATAACAAAACAAGAAATCAACTCCACAGGACTGTGCTTTATCCCCCCCCCAACCCCCCCCTTATACTCATGTGAATTAGAGAGGTGTCTGCCTGAATCTTTTGTGCATGCCATTGTCTTGTTTTGGAACTAAGCCATATTTTCCCCTTCTTGCTTTAGTAACAGATCTGGTCTATCTATGTCAAGATCATCTTCCCTACCCTCTACCTCATCTCAATTTTTAATTCAGTTCAACATGAACTATTTCTCTTTATTAATGTACCATTGCATGCTCCAAATAAGGGGCAGGGAATCTCTGGTTTCTTAATATTATTAAAGTACAACTCTTGGCATCTCTTTCCATTGCCTATATGGGCTGAAAGTGCTGGAAATTGTATTTCAGCAAGACCTAGAGATATATAAGTGCCTTGCACCTGTTTTAAACAAATTTAGTAGGAGAAATTCAGTCTGTACCTCAGTGATATCCATAAATTCTCAACTCTAACTGGACTTATTTATTTATTTATTTTTGTTTGTTTGTTTGTTTATTCTTAAAGGGTAAAAGTATTTGGTGGGGAAAGGAGAAATCTGGGAGGGCAGAAGAGAACTAAAAGGGTTTTTTTTCACCTTCCAAGTGTTTTTCCCACAGGTGCAGGATCCACTATTTTTTTGGAACAACTGAATGTTGATCCATTAGTTGCCACAGGAATTGATCGACCAGCTTGTCACCCAAGCCTGAATTGTGGGCTGAGAGAGAGTGACTGGCCCAAAGTCACCAGCTGGCTTTCATGCCTAAGGCAGGACTAGAACTCACAGTCTCCTTGTTTCTAGCCTGGTACCTTAATCACTAGACTATGTAATTTTATTTATTTAATATTTATTTATTTATGCAACTTCTCATCCAGATCTCTCAGGGTAGTTCACAAAAATAAGCATTAGAACTGAACTGAAACCTAACTGCCTTTATAGCAAACGGAAGCAAAATCCTGGGGGAAGAACCGTGACTTAAACAGCCTAACAATGGCCAAAGTAGGGATGTCTGTAGCAAAAACACGATAGATCTTGTGCGGGGGTGGGGGGGGGAATCACACAGCCATTATTTGTGGGCAACACTCCAAACAAGGCCACCTTTCAAAGATCTTCAGGGCCAGGCTAGTACATAGTAGCAGAGTTCTTTAAATCTGGATCGGCAATTTTATTACAACTGCACTGAAATAATCTGATTTTTAGGGGCATTACATTATTGTGATTTAAGACATCTATCCTGCCAGTTCAAGAGAGTGACAGGATTGTATTCATGATGGGACTATCAATATAATCATATAACACAAAATCTTCAGTTCCTAAACTATGCGCATATCAAATCTCAGAAATCAACCTTATGCAACAGGAAAATCATCCCCCAAAGTCCATTTTGAAAGAGAAATGTTTGCTAATGCAAATCAAACCCATTGCATATAAATATGCTTGACACTCTTTAGAGCCATGCTTTGTGGTAATGTACATATTTGTTTTATTGCTAGATCCGGGCTGCTAGCCTTAGGAAAGCCTTTAGACAGAGAAAGCACCGATCGCTACATTTTGATTGTTACAGCCTCAGATGGGCGACCAGATGGGGTAAGTTTCTCGCAGAAATATTAAAATGTGTCTGCATCTGGGGCCAAACAAGTAGGGAGCTAAGAACAGTACAACCACAATCTTTTTGATCCATGTTTTTTGTTAATGTTTATAATATCGAGCAATTCCCCTTTATGTCCAAAACTTTTCTGTCAATACCCGTAATGCTGCAACTCCAGTGGTTTGTGCCATATTCTCTGATATTTCATTGTTCTATTTTGACTAGTTCAAACATCACAGGTTGTCAGGGCTATCCCCAAGGACTGATCTAACACGATATGGGAATCCATAGCCTAAGCTACCTGTTTTGACTTATAAAAACATACAGTTTTGGGCCTAAAACATACAGTGTAAGGACTGCAACAGCCACTATGTGGGACAGACAGGCAGAAGACTAGCAGAGCACATCAGTGAACACCAGGTAGCAGTCAGAGGATATGATGAAAACTCCTTAATCTCACAACACATGGACAGAGTCAACCATAGTTTCAACTGGGAAACTGTGAGAATCCTAGACCCAAGTTAAACCAAAAACGGTTAGGAAATTCTGGGAGGCTTGCAATCAAGAAAAATACCATCAATAGACACGTAGAAATAAACCACATTTACACACCATTCAAAA